AACAACAGCATACTATATATTTTCTTTTGCAATGTTAAAGGCCTTGGCTAGGTTCCTATCTAGATACTACTTACATAAGGCATCAACACGACTATCAAATCAGGGCCGATCATTTTACTGGAAACAGTCATATAAGTATTGCTGTTGTCGTTAGTAGGGGTTTGATTTCAAACATACTATGTACGGGTGGTTTCTCCAGGATAATGTTGTTACATTTAATTAGTTATAATCTCGTAATAGTCATGTTAGTGGTTGTATATTTTATAAAGACTTCGTTTGAACCTCCTACTCTGGACAAAGTTTGTTAAATCGAACTTGCACATAAAATGCACAATTTCCTTAAATAGATAAAAATGATAATTTCAACACTTTCAAGAGCTGTGTTTTTGTTCGATTATACAATAATAACTTAATTATTAGTTTGTTACTGTTCACGAACAGAATAGTGGTATAGTACATGTATGTACTTTCAGCTGCCATCGTTTCAGTACTTTGTTATGTAATACCTGCGCTTTTTAACAACTATCAACACGTGTAATACACACTCTAGACTCATAAGCGTATGAGTTTTTTATGAAACGTACAGAATTCTTTTTATTTGCCAATATAACGAACAAAATGTTGGAATGTGCTTTACAATGCAACATTTGCTTTTAACTGCATTGTGATTAAATCCCAATTAGATTAAATATGTTTATTGCCAATTTATTAATCCCTTTCTCCAATCATTCATTTACGTTTTACCACTTGTAAAGCACTGGAAGCATGTGTACATAGTTCTCAGATAAAAAAAAATCTGATTTATCTTATTTCATATTATGTCAATTTTGCAATGCCTTTATATTGCTGAAACACCGTTTTTCTGTTTTAAGATTTAATCCTATCCTAACAACATGTTTGTTGTACAATCAGACACCAATAGTGTGTGATTTGTTTGTACACGAGGTTGTACTACTGAACGTAACGTTTTGTCTTATTGTATTTTTAATGAAATATTGAGGAACAATACGTATACTGATTGTAAAGATACACCGAGTAAAACAGAAACACATTCTCATTTGAAGGACACCACGACAGAAATTGTTCTCAAACTCGATACAAGTACAGAACAATAGTAACGGATACACCAAAACAAAACGAAAGACAACTGCACAGTTAATAGACCGCTAGTACTGTGGAATGATAAATGGTCCATGTGTGAAAGCAGCTATTATATAACAAAATTACTGTACTCGAAATGTACTTAATGCGGAAAGGATGAAACATATATTCCATGTTCGACCTCTCAATATAAAGGAAATGCATGATATTCATTTACATATAAAATGAAGTAACGTTCTACATTTATATATGGCAGTTTTCAGTAAACAAAAATCTGTTACACCATTAAACGACCTGCTTGTAACTTAACTACCACCACAAAGACTGATGCTACTGGTACGTGTACTCCGAGTTAACGTTAGGACCTTAACGTCATTAATCAACTGATCAACTGATTATATAAGCATCATCGTGGGGGCGTGTGCGTCGTTTGTGTGGTTCTGTTCTACTTCTGGCTAGGTATAGTTGGAACCCATGCTTAATCCCGGTTGACAGCATGCATAACTGTTAGTCTTGTAATAACATCTGTTAGTACAAGTGAATTCACAGATGACAGCAGTCATAACTGTCTAGTAAAAGCGGCTGATAGAGACGCTATCTTCTCAGATGCCAACATCCTATATCTGTTAAATATTTATGATCATTTACATTAATGAAACAATTTTATTCCGATATTTTCTTAATCAATACATGCATAGAATTAATTGCTAAACACTTACCCAGGGATTTCTTCTTCTACTGTCTCATTAATGTTTCTAAAAGAACGAAACACTGTGTGATGCAGTGTTACTCATTTTGACAAACTGTATCGATTAATTAAATTCTTAAGGTGCAATATTCTCTGTGAGGGTTATGTTCATCTCTCAAGATACAAGGTGGTAGACTCTGCAGGTGGATGATTGTTTCTAGTGTCCTGGGTTCGCCGTGACCTTGATGGCCATATTTATAGGAGGCACGGTAGTCTAGTGGTAGGACGCCGGGCTCGTGACCGAAGGGTTGCGGGGTTCGAGTCACGGCAAGTCACTGTGCTGTAAATGTATCTTTGAGCAAGATACTTTACTCCGCTTGTTCCAGTCTACTCAGCTGTAAATGAGTACGTGGTTGGGCAGTGCTAGAATTATAGAATGCTAGCTGTGAGCGCCGAAATGGCAGCACCAGCTGTATGCTCCCCAGGGAGTTGGAACGATATTGGCTGGTTGCAAATGCCCTATAACCACGGATAATAATTTGTGAACCGCATTAAGACGACTTACGAACTAGGTTGTGATAAAGCGGTATAAAGAACCTCGGATTATTATTATTATTATTATCTCAAAATATACACCTTGGCTAATTAATTGTAAATTAACCAGTGCTCTATACTCTTGAAATTAATAACCAAATGTTTTTGTGCACCTCCTCTTCTGTTTCAACAATAGTTTAGACCTATTTCGACTTCAAAATGTTTGGCCTCGAGCATCATCGGTGAGTCCTAGAAGGACGAAACAGCTGAACGACGCAGTGTTATTCGTACTGGGCCTACTGGGTCGATTACTTAACGCTCAAGGTACAATCACCTGTGTGTGAGTGTGTGTGTGTGTGTGTGTGTGTGTGTGTGGTTGTGTATGTGTGTGTGTGTGTGTTACGCTCATTTTACAATGCACGATGATCTCAATAACTATTTAACAATATTCTATGTTAATGGATCGGCGTAACCCTGTGTAGCTTAGTTCTTCTGTCCTAAATAGACCCAACGGACATATAGTAAAATGTTTTACTTTGTTTGTACAGTAAACGTTTTTTATAGGTGTGTCATTTCTTTGTATTTCTAGTGATTGTTTTATAGTTAATAAAGAATCTCACAAAAACTATTACACCCGACCTTATGATATAATAACAAACAAGCATGCTGCTACTTCATATTCCTTACTCATCACTTATTCTCTGTATCTATCGAAAGTTCCTCGAAATACCATTACATATCAATTTAGCTGTTTTCAGATACATTCAGTGAAAAGAGGGATGGGATTTTTTAACAATTATTATCTTATATGTATTTTACAAAGTGTGCGATACAATACTGCTTCTACCGAAACTCTATACATCTGAGTGTCATCTACCAACACACACTATACAAATAGCGTTTGATACACTGATTGTAATACCGAGAACATTGAGAACATATTTAAAGACGTATGGCCCATATTAACGGTAACTTTAAATATTATGTTTTAGGTGAGGTAACAATTTAAATCTCAACCGACACAACATATTCGCCACTGAAATTATCTTGATGGATGACATTTGAAAACTCAGTTTATTACGAGGTTAAGTTTGTGTACTATAGCGGTTTACCGTTTATTACGAGTTAAGTTCGTGTACTATAGCGGTATACCGTTTATTAAGAGGTTACCTTGTGTACTATAGCGGTATACCGTTTATTACGAGGTTAAGTTTGTGTACTATAGCGGTTTACCGTTGATTAAGAGGTTAAGTTTGTGTACTATAGCGGTATACCGTTTATTACGAGGTTAAGTTTGTGTACTATAGCGGTTTACCGTTTATTACGAGGTTAAGTTTGTGTACTATAGCGGTTTACCGTTTATTAAGAGGTAAAGTTTGTGTACTATAGCGGTTTACCGTTTATTACGAGGTTAAGTGTGTGTACTATAGCGGTATCATTTTTTTCAAATAAAATGTACATTAATTGCAGAAGTAACAATTAGTCTGTAGCCATATTGTAGCTTATCCTTGTTTTAGGCGCTTCGATGTTCTAAGACGATGTTCGAGTTGAGCTGTTTCTGACTATTGTATTACAGCAAAGCGATTCTGTACAGTAGTATTGATGTAAGATGCAGTCCACTTTAATACTAATACTGATCCACATTTTACCGACTTACACTTTAAGTAATGGAATTATTTGGGATTATACGTTTGAGAACATTTTCCTTTTTATCATTCATTGTCACAATATTTCTTTTAAACAATAAAAGGTAAACTTATTAACACGGTAAGGAATAGCGATGTAAAAGCAGCTCTAACTCCATTGACACTGTGCTGATCTGTGCTATATATCTCAATCAGTGTTAAATTGAAAAAAGAAACAATGCTTCACTGTACGTTGCCATTTTAAGATTACAATATCACTGACAATAACGAAAAGAGGTCACTTATTTAACGTTGGTGTCTGACATAACGTTTCAACGCGTTAAGTTTAAGTTACATAATAAGAAGACATTGGGTAACGGGTCCATTTACTTACAATAATCGTTATTGAAATATTTGAATATGATAGCTCTACTTATGATTGAACTATTTCATGGTTTATAGCGATTTTGTTCCGTCTTATTTAATGGGTTATAACGGGATACAACTCATTGCAAGCCTACCATTCTTGAACCGAATCAACATGGTAAACGATCGGAAACATATGCTGTCCAATTAATGTTCATCTTTCCCCTAGGAGATAGTTAGTCGCGTAACGAACCATTTTTAACGTATGTAATGATTTGACAGTGTAAGTTACTATCATTGCTATAATCATTCCCCTTAATTTGATTTTAATATTGTAACGGTGAAAAAATGTCAACTATGTGAAACGACAGATGGATGCTGGAACACTATCTAAAGCTTATGTAGATGGATTCCTTTTTACATCATTTTTTAAAAACACTCGATTGTGATTTGCAGATAGGGCGATATCGCCGCAACCTTACATTGGCATCATATAGAATAATTAATCATGGAAATAATTTAAGTATTGTTTAAAATAATAGTTGAATATATGTGTAATCTGTATTTAAAAACTTTAAAATGATGATTGGCCTGTTCACGCAAACTTTAAAAAGATATACTTATCATATACATATCATTGTGTTACATTTAACATAGATATGAATTCGAGATAATTATCTACTCACGTGTATGGAGGAAGCTGTAACTTAGTAGAGGCCAGAAGAAAGTTCCTGAATTGAGATCCCCGATAGTGTAATAGACCCACGTGCACAGTGTTGTTAATGAAAGAGAGATTTCTATCCTGTCGTCTTTTAAATACTTGTCACCATCCCCGTTGTAGGCAGACCTTCGCAGCGTTAACAGGTGGTGGGCGAGTATACACGCCCAGGTATCCAATCACAGACCGACACCACCAGCAGCGTCATCACCTGTTTGGCTGCAAAGACAGTAGGAGAAGTGATTTCAAATGCTTTATCGATATGACGGGAAAAATCATAAGAACTATGTAACATGGAGGCTCTGTGGATAATCATAGCGCGTTGACGTAAGCAATTATACGCTAAGTACTATTATGTATTATAGACACGCCGGAGGAGACACCCAATGCTAGATAATCTTATGGAACCAGTACACTGAACTGTTGCTCGTGTTGCTCGGTACAGCGCATAGCTCGTGTTGCTCGGTACAGCGCATAAATATGGGAGTTATGAAACTTCTACTGGGCAGGCTAGGAAACTACGCCTCAATCGAAATGACCATCATAAGTAGTAATTGATAACACGAGATTATATCATTTCAACTCTGTATTCTGCCATAGATAATACTACGTATTTCTCAAAATGTTTTTTAAAGAGAAATTATGAAAAAGGGATCAGTTTAGCCAGGGAAGAGCTGGAAAAAACCGCCGATCAAATACTTTGAGAAAACCAATGACCTCTCCTCTTCCCGTATTATACTTCTTTTGATATTGTACTTACGTACTCCCTTCGAATCATATTAACAATAAAATTTCGGTTCAAAAGATTTTGACCAGCGGTTTTTATTTACAACAAGAGAAAAAGAAACAGATGCAAAATGCGAGAAAAGTCATACAAATCAATAAATATGCAAACATGTAATAACGGTCGTTAGTACATACACCATTGCCTAGTTACGGGCAATCGAAGGTGTCCGCTCCTAAATATTGATGTTGGCGAGAATTTTAAGGAGGTTACCGGCCACGTGGTACTGTGACGTTACTGGCTTACCTTGGAGTCAACAGTTCGTGTAAATATTAGCGTACATGAGCTATACATATCAAATCACGTTCTATTGAATTTTCGAAGAATAAAAAGTGACCAATTGTTTTTTGATTGCTTAATTGTTAAGGATGTACACCTCTGAGAAGTCAAATAATTCCTGTATTAAACTTTTTTGTCTTATATTGATTTTTGGAAAAAGGAGATAACGGCATAGTAGAATATGCAAAAAAAAATATGTCCGTGTGTTCGTTTTTGTGCTATGATCGGTCAAAGATACCAATTTAATACAATAGGTGATTTTAGGTTAATTTTCGGGTTTTGACCATTTGCAGAATAAATTCATACAATTTCTTCCAAGTGTGTTATCAGTTATGTATGAATGTTTGTAGAATCGATTAAAATATTATTTTCATTTAAATTATGGAAGTAAAATATCTTAATCTTATTCATTTTACTCAGAAATGCGATTTTAGTTACCCCTACCCCTTATTTTTTAATGAAAACGCTTGATATAAAAAAAATCCTGTATTTAACTTTTTTAGTATTCAATGAATCAAAAGAAAATGTGTTTCTCTGTCTAAAACAGCTACAAAAATGGGGGGTCGGTGTGCTTCTTTTTTTGTCCCATTATTATTTGTGTTATTTTTCAGCGCTTTCGGGGTCAAACATCAAAAGTGCTTCAGTTACCCTAGTATGTAAAAAAAATACCAATAATATATATTTTTCCATTGTTTTGCATATTATTTTAATCATATTGAACATTATAAAGTTGTACAGCAAAAATGAACCTGCTACATTTAAAAATGGTGACACAATGACAACTTAAGTGATCAATCTAGTGTCAAAAATGTGAAGTTTTGCCCTTTGTGAAGCGCAAGAAATTCACATAAATACACTTTTTCAAAATGGCCGCCAAATTGATCATTTTTTTTCAAATACTTGTAAAAAATGTTCTACACACAACAGACATCTAGTTTTTTGACATGTTTTTTTCAGTTAAACCTATCATAATTTGTTAAATATTACAAAAAACCGTTACACCAGATCAAAACGAGACTTGAACGTGACTGAAACCTCAGAAGAGTACATCCTTAAGTTTAAAGAATTTTTATTGATCATGAGCAAATGTAAATACTTTTTCATGCTAAAGATTCTATTTTACTTTTTATACCATTTCCTGCCAAAGTTTCATTTTCAATATTTAAAAGTATGCGAAAAATGACCATATTGTGAAACCTTAACAATTGTTTAAAGATATTTGAAATCTAATGAGCCGCTGGTTTTCCCGGTTTCATAACCCATTAGGCTGAATTTCCCTATTCTACAGATGAAAGAGTTACATTATTTATAGATAACCAATGTACGTAACTGTTCGTCCTTTAAGTTAGGTTCAAATGATTTAGCATCTCCATCCAATTTATAAAATATGATGAAAGAAAGAAAGTGAAAGAAAGACGAATGTTGAATGAAATTCATCCTGTGAGAGGCCAACACATTGTCAAGGGGATGGTCCCAGGGCTCCTCAACCCTGGCATCCTCCGTAAACTTGCTGAGGAAGTAATATTATAGATAACCACTTTAAAGTCCAAGACTTCATAACTGCGCATATCATAATCATTTGAAGGGTTCAAGAGTTTTAGCAAATTGTCATCCTTAAATATAGTATTCCTTTGACACTATCAAAACGATATTTAAACGCGAATTCATATTATGATCTGTTGTGTTTCAGTTAAACTAACGGAATAGGTGTATGAAAATCTCTCCGATACTTGGTAGTTTGCTGGAGATATTAAACAAGCAGTATAACACATTTTGTGTAATGGTTAATATCCTAACGAGTAAGACGGTATGGTGCCTATAGCTCATACAAGTATTACTCACCTGGTGTGATAATTATATGCAAGATCTATATTTTTTCAGAACAGAATATTTTTAAATATACAAAATTAAATGGTTAAATATTGATTCATGTTATTGAACTTTCACAATTATTTGTGTCCACGTCATGCTCTTACTGATTCTTTCTAACCATATAAAAGTTTAATCTATCGTTTTGTAATACCTATGTGGGTCGTACATAAGTCCGTATATAAGGTAATTGTGTAATATTCAACAACAATAGCTAGATGTAATTAAAAAAACACCATATGATTTATACATAATATTTGTGTATATGAGTGTGTAAACGAGTTACATTTACTGATACTGTTAAAGCACTATTGTAAGTCTACAATGATTTTCGTGAGTGTTTTTATACTTGTCCCTCGTCAGGCACGCAGAAAATTCATTGATTATGATATCAAACAACACCTGACAAGGTACGGCCAGATTTTAATACGCTAATACATCAATACTGTTTGTCTACTGTGCTAGAGGCGTCCGTTATGTGCGAGCAAATCTGCGCTCATTATCACCTCTCGCTAATTATATATTAATTCGTAAATCAGGCATTACAACGGGTCCTGCGGCTGTGTCGATAACGTACTATGTTCCATTGCCAGCTATTATAACCCGATAACAGGTTAACAAAACTGTCCTTAATGTTCACCTACCAACGTGGTGATTACTGTGTTAGTATTCCAATATCAGCATCATGATTCGATTGTTACTCCTAAGAAGACATGTTCTTAAACAAAATTGAGAAAAATAACGTGTCTGATAATGAACAGATTTATCAACATAGCATCAGACCCACAAGGCTTGGTTGATTTACAGTACTGTAAACAGAAGTCATCGGTGTGGACATGTCCTCTGTCGGAGCCAAGTGATGGAGTCGCTGATTTACTAATGGACGACCTATTACGCTGCTAAATGGCCATTTTTCGCCTCGCCTGGGAAGCCTAATGAGGAACTAATATCCTACATTGGCTGCAACATTGAATACTAATCGTAATTGATGTCTTATTTAATTATGATACGTTCATGTTGATGCAATTGTCATACACAGGAGCACATACGTAGCTGGAAGCTTAGCGTTATATCTGAAAAGGATTAAATTTAAACTTGTTTATTTTTTAGAAAAACATATAGATAGATTAATAAATCATAACTATTGTCGAGTTTTGTTTTTGTGATATCAATCATCTTTAGATGTGAATACAAGGATGGTAATTTAATTTTAATACTAAAATTATCACCGCTGTCTTTCACATTTATTTTTGTACTGTATCAACGGGGTTAATGCATTTTGTTCCAACCAAAATTCACTGCCGTATACATCTTTTTCATTGATAGAATTACTGACTATGAGTCACTACGGTAATTGATTGACTTAATGTTGTCTACTTAACGATTTCATTCTTAACCTCAATGTCGCTATTTATGACTACAGGAAATTTGCAGTAAAAACTGAACTAATATTTTGACAACTTAAATATTAGATACCATATTCCAAAGGTGTTTTAATCAATTTTGTTTTTCATTTATGTGACTGAGTGAATTAATTGTCTTCAATCTACTGTAGTATATATCTACATGTAGATATAGCTACCGTTGCTATCTAACTGTTAACAACCTATACGATACTGTACTATGTAGGACATCCTTATATAAGAATGTTTACGTGTGCATTGTTTACGAAACGTAAGGATTAACCTTTTTATTACATTAATTTTCATCATTTTAGCAACATAAGTTTGGTAAATTACTCTCTGATACATGGTATTACTCCGCGAAATCATTGTCAATTCCCGCTAAGCAGTCAGTTTTACGGCATTTTCAAACAAAGATAACAATAATAATAACAACACATTATTTCCTCAATAAATATAAAATTAAACTTATGAACAAATTTTGTTTGCAAATGGTTCCTAATGTAATTACTTTATAGAAATATCCAACACAAAAAAATGAGACAAAAATCCAGGTGTGCATTAACATTATACCACTGAGGGAGCCTGGTGAGAGAGTATGTTATTAAATTATATTGCTGTTTATTAAATTATATTGCTGTTTCGTCTATCGGCTATCAGAAACACTTTGTTCTGGTTTATTTGGTTATCATTCTTATAGTTCTATTCAGACTTAATGACTATTTATAATATACATATGTTAATATTACATATAACTTGTACCAGATACTATTATACATATACAATTTGTATCTAACGTGCAATTAGCTTGAACATTCCATGTTTTTTATTTCCATATTATTAGAGATAACAAAGTCAAAACAATGTTCCATTTATTTTATCTATT